GTGCCTTATAATGCCTATTAAAAGCATACCTGGTAATACATGATTCACAATAATATGTTTTTTTGCAACATGTAACATATAAATGTGTTTTAATTTAAAAGCAGTTTTGGCCATCTGCAGGACAGACATTCCCATTTTTGTCATCCAAGAATTTGAATTATTTTATGTTTACATGATTTGATTAAAACTACATCATAAATCATGACATTTTTCCTCATGCTGATGCACTTAATTGTTATATTGTCATTTGGCATCATTGGTAGGCACTTATGAGTCTCATTCTGTCCTACCTGAAAGTCAGAGGATTGCTCAAAAACAGTGAAGAAAAACTAGTATGTAGAAAATAATTTGTTTTGAAATATTTATACTATTCCATCAAAATATAGCAATAAATTTTAAGTTGTGATTGTTGATTAATATACAATATTCAAAGACAAAAAACTAAATGAACAATTGCAGCATTCTTTGACTAAACTTAAAAATGTCAAGAATGTTGGTAAAGTTTTTTTTACACTTGCTGTTAAAGACTTATCCTTGAATATGTACCTTATATTTGCATACCAGTGGCATTTGGTGACTTAAAAAACGATGTTAAGTATATAACAATATAAATGAGAACAGTTTAAAAGTTACTATTATTTTAATTAAAATAAAAATTAATTAATTTAAATTAATGTAGCAAGAGAACTTAATTGAATAAAATTCTTCAATTAAATGTTATTTATATAGCACACAACAACAGTTGCCTCACCTCAGTGCGCTTTATAATGAAAGTGTCTACAATAATAAAGAGAAAACCCCAACAATCATTAGTAGAGCACTATGAGGAAAAAGTCTCTTTAGCAGGAAGAAACCTCCAGCAGAACCAGGCTCAGGAAGGGGCAGCCATCTGCTGCAACAAGTTGGGGATGAGTCTATGAAGACATGACAAAGACATGCTGTGGAACTCAGCCAGAGATTAATAATAACTAATAATTAAATGCAGAGAATTGTATAAACACACAGTGGTGTTTTTGTGTAGCTTAATCTGCGTAGCAATTTAATACAAAACTTATTAATAACGTTTTATTTTGTAGTGTAATCTCCACATGCTTCCAAGCACACTCTCTGTGTATTCACTGCCTAATTTATAGTTACAGCAGAAGGTAACATAGGCCCACCAACTGTCCCCTGGCAGACTGTGCCATGCAGCCAGAGAAAAGGGTGGTTGGGTGATGGTAAGGACGAAGTATAGTCTTAAACAGAAGCCCCTGGTCCACGACAAAGCTGTTCATGTGTCTAACTGCTTTCCCCCCCGAGGATCAAACTCTGGTAATTAGTGATTCTGTTCTGAGACATGAGAAGCAAGAGACACCAGTAACCATAGTCAGTTGTCTTCCAGGGGCCAGAGCAGGCGACATTGAGGGAAACTGCTGGCTAAGGCTAAATGTAAATTCAATAAAATTAATCACATTGGCAGTTATGACACCCGTTTACAATTGGAGGTCACTAAAATTAATATTGAATTAATATTTGCCAAAGCAATTTTGGACTCTGCGGTTTTCTCTTGTATGTGAGGAGCATGATTTTGAATTAAATTCTGGATTTAACAGGGAACCAATGAAGGGAAGCCAATATAGGAGAAATACACTCTCTTTCTAGTCCCTGTCAGTACTCGACAAGACTGCAATGATGCATTAAGTATTTCTTCTTCAGTCACCTTTCTCACTTAATAGACCTATCTGCATTGAATCACACTTGGTTATTAATCTCTGGCTGTCTTCCACAGCATGTTTTGTATCCGTATTCCTTCTCTCTCTCCAACCAGTCATGGCAGATGGCCCTGCACCTCCCCGAGTATGGTTTTGCTGGAGTTTTCTTCCTGTTAAAAGGGAATTTCTCCTCCCCACTGTCACCAAAGTGATTGCTCATAGGGGATCATATGAGCATATGGGATTTTTTCTGTGTGTATTATTGTATGGTCTACCTTACAATATAAAGTGCATTGAGGTGACTCTTGTTGTGATTTGGCGCTGTATAAATAAAATTGAATTGAATTGAAGTCTAACTATAGTTAGACTACTTTACCAATTTGAAATTGTTGGTTAAACCTGCACTTATTCAATTTGCCTGTTATATTCAAAAGGACATAACACGAGTTCCACTGCCTATGATTAAAATTTTCATATTAATGTGGTAAATAGGTGATTAAAAGTTTCTTACATCACACATTGTCTAAGGAGCTTAGAAAGAAAAGCGTCTGGACTTCTTTAAGTTCAAGCAACCTAAAGAAGTCCAGATGCTTTTCTTTCCAAGCTCCTTAGACTACAATGACCTGGATGAATGAGAACCTTTACAGACTTACATCACACATCTTGGTCAGTGTATAACTAGGCAGTTTAAATCTATATCATCATTTACTAGTAGACTTACATAATTAACATTAATTATATATCTGAAAAACAAGATGTTTAACTTTTACTTTTAAAAATACATTTAGTGGAATACACCGTGAGTGACCTTTTAGATGCACCACTGCATGTGGCAAGTATATAAGGGAAAGAAAGGCGTTTGGCTGCTGTCAGTCTGGCGCAAAGCTTACAGGACAAATTTAAAGATAGTGACAAAGTCAGCTAGCAGTTTGTTTTTATGCAGGCAGATTTAGTTTCAGCTTGGATTTAATTTAGTTGTTCTGCCACTGTGGAAAACAAAGCAGTGGTGGATGGGAGCACTTTTCTTCACATTTAAGCTTTTTGGACCCATATCTGCAAGGGCTTAAGGGGAGGGGACATGAGGGCAACAGCACAAGCCATATGTAGCACTGGTGGTGAAATACTGGTAGTGGGCATGTAAGGCCTGTTAGCACTACTTCTTGCCTTCTTTGTATGTAGTATAGGCAGTATAGTTACCTTTAACAACAATACCAGAACAGAAGGGAAATATGGGCCAGATCAGACAGATTCTAGATTCGTAGGAGCCAAGGGTGTCTGACAAGAACGCTCTAAAAGTCCTGCCTCCACACCATTTATCCACATATTAATTAAACTTATGTTTTGTTTACATGCTTTGTATCAGTATTTATTATATTTAATTGCTTTTTATCAATATTTATTCCCATTGTGAAATGAGTATTTTAATCAAAAGTATATCAATATTTATGCTTTTAATCCCGTTTTTAACACTGGGTTACACATACATAAGCTGAGTCTCCAAAGAACAACTGTGTGTTAAATACATTTATTTTACAATTTTACAAACAGCTAATTACAACTACCTACCTACTACAACTCCACTCTTCCAGGAAAGAAAAGAAAACACTAAACTGTAGAGTGAATTAAAAAAACAGACATGGTGCAACAGTTCTCTGAACTCTGACGAAATTAAGCACGTTAGTCTGAGGAGGTGCGTTGACAGCCAATAATTGCTCTTTCAACACTTTGAGGGGCCTTCGCACATTATGTGCAAACACTAAATACTACACACTAAAATCGTGATATTCCTGCTTCGCCTTGCAATCAGCACACACCAGGAAAGGCAGACCTTCATCCCAGTCTCTCTCAGAGTCAAGGCAGTTTTATGCAACCTCTCTAGTGCACCTTGTGGTTGGGGATGCTATGGGCTAGAGAGGACATGCACACTACATAAAGATTGGATGCCTGCCTGAACACTTTTGATTGAAAATGTCCCTACGTTACCTCTTTGCTGCTTCCTGTGTGTCTCGATGAGAAGGTGTAGGTCTACCAGTGATGATAATCTTTATTGATGTTTTCTTATCAGTTATTTTGTTAAGATAAATAAAATCCACTTGCTCTAGAGCTACTTAGATTTACACACTGTCATAAATGCATTTTACAGTTCACAGACAGCAGTTTTTAGTTCCAGATGTGAGTGAAACAGTTTCGAGTCATGCTATCATCAGTGTCTTTTTGCTTTTTTCCATGACATTAAGAATTCTCTCCTTTTCCTTCTTTCTCCTTCATATGCTTCTCTTTTCTTTTAATGTGAGTATGCTGACTGTACAAATAATGAATTGACAGCCACCCTACTTGACAGGTAGCACAGTGGCCTAGAGCCCTGTACCCCGTTTCTTGTCATTAGTTTGACCTTTAGCACCCACTAAAAACATTGCTGCAAACCAAATGTACCCACTCCCCACTGGTACTCCTCACAGCAGGAGTCTGCAAGAAAGAACAAAATGCCATACCTCAAAAACTACTCAGGTGCTTCAGGAACACCACAAAGGTATTTACTTGACCTCCAGTCTCCCTAGAATCCAATAAGACCTTAGTTCAACAAACTCAAATAATCCACTGCCATTGTTGCAAATAAATCTTTTATCTTGAAACAGGACAACAGAAAACTAACATTTACTGTGTAAGAGGTTTTCCAGCTGCTTGTGGTCAAAGAATTTGGCAATAATTTCTTGCTATCATCAGTCACCAGCAGTATTTCAGTATTTAAGGACTGGCTGGAAACTTAAGTTCCGTGTAAAATTTAAAGTGGGTTTTTTAAAACCCCATCATTGTGGTATGCTACTATCATCAGCTATACTATCACAAATACAAACAAATATATTGTTCACAGTGCAGGGTATTTAATGGAACCCATTCTATCTGAAAGCACGAGTATGTCCAATGTGCATGTTATTTTTAGCTTATCTTTTTTCTGTCTTGGCCCATGAGGAGAAGATGAAGTCACTGGTTTTAAATTGCAAATATTTTCTAAAACTGGCCAAGTCAAACATCATCAGACTGTGACTTGAGATAATCTCATTTCAATTAGTAAAAGAAAGAACAGTGTGTTTTACCGTTGTGACAGATAGTATTTGGTTGTCTCAGTATAAGACCATTTTTCAGTTTAGTGTGAGGGTTAGACAGGGACTTTGCCTTACCTGCTGGAAGACCGCCGTCTGTGTACCCATCAACAGCTGAATGCTCCAGGGTCTATGTTGACTTGTCAGTTTTAATAACTTTTCTTTGTGTGTGTGTGTGTGCATGTGTGTGTATTTGTGTTTTTTTCAGGGAATTTGCGAAGGAGAGAGAGCGTGTGGAGAAGAGGCAAGAATTCTTGAAGCTTCGCCGACAACAGCAAATAGAGAGAGAGTTAACTGGGTACCTGGAGTGGATCTGCAAAGCGGGTCAGAAACACAATCATATCTTTACACTGCAGGTGTAAATTTAGTTATTTATATATATATTATTTATATATATATTTATATATATAGTTATATACTGATTTTTACCGTTGGATTTCAATAACAGTTTTGCTTTACTTGATGTTAGCACTATTATGACATAATTGTTTATCATAATTTGTGTTGCAGAAGAAGTGATGCTGGCTGAGGAAGACAAGAACGCAGAAGAGAAATCTTTGGATGGAGCATGGTACAAACGAAAACACAACAACTCTGGTGAGGATTGGTATCTTCAGAATCAGTTTTCAACATTGAAAACATTTACATTTAGAACAACATGCAACCATCATTAAGAAGTTAAATATAAAAAGTGAGCTGAAATCTAAAAATCTTTGGATGCACATTATAAGACTTACAGGTCCCATATTTTTTAGGTTTTAAAAAAAAACTATTTATGTTTATTATAGCTTTGTGTGTGGCTATGTGGCTGTGCATACATGTGCCTGTGTATGTTTACATGTGTGCTCATAGACCAGACTAGCTCTCATCTGCAACTCACCCAGGATTACAATTAACCTTTATTATGGTTATAAAGGTGGAAGGCCAATGAGATCAAAATGCAGGAGAGAGAAGGAGGCTCACTGAAGTTAGCATTGTAATATGAGTGCCCTGAGCTGTGACTCACTTTTCTGTCATTTGAATACCGTCCTGTTTTTTGCTCTTCCTTTTTAAGAAATTCTCAATAGCAAACTTGAACTGTGTTATTTTACAGAACGCCAACAGCAGTAGAGCAAATTTGGGTGTTATGTCAGCAGAATGGAAAATGTACAACCTAAATTCTTATGTCTTTTATGATAAATATTGCATAAACCAAACTGGAGGCCTCTGTTTTTTTTCCTCTTAAGTTTTATATGTATGGTAAGGCTGCCTCCTTGGTTTAGTTATGGTTGTTTTCCTTTCCACTTACCATATCTTCCACACTATAAGGCACACTTAAAATCCTTTAATTTTCTCAATGAAGACATTTCACCTCTCATCCGAGAGGCTTCTTCAGTTCTTCTCGGATGAGAGGTGAAACGTCTTCAAGCAACGTAAAGAAGTCCAGACACTTTTCTTTCTAAGCTCCTTAGACTACAATGACCTGGATGACTGAGAACCTTCACAGACAACACAGCTTAGCATTCACTGTGTTTATGTTAGTATAATATAAACACAGTGAAGCTGGAGGAATTCAAACTTTTTTCCACTCAATAAAAGTTGAGGGTTCCCGATGGTTAGGAACAAATGCAATGGCATGGCAGGATGCTATAAACGGCCCAAACTTAAGTCAGGAATCAGGAGAACAACTGAGGTAATCCATCCACAATACGTGGTTAGTCATTAATATACTGCAACAACACGGGAATGGAGCAGCTGCCAGAGAAGTCAATATTAATGAATCAATGGTACGGAAGAGGAGGAAGAAAGAAGAATGAGTTCAGTAAAGTTTGACCTATCTGACTGTTTTGTTTCGCTTAATGCGCCTTATAATCCAGTGCACTTTATGAATGAAAACAGACCCGTGCCTTATAATCTGGTGTGCCTTATGGTCCGAATAATACGGTAAATCACTCATGGTCAAACCAGTGTTCCTCTCTGTCCTGGGTATGGACACCCTTGCAATTGGAAATATGGCAGCCTGCCTGAAGGTGCAGATACATGGTAGATTCCTGGTCTGGTGACGTACATCTTCTGTGTTAAGCCATCCACTTACCCAGAGGTTGTTTTGTTCTCCTAAGATCTAGATAATGTTTATTGTCATATAGACAGTCTGAAGCAGAAAAAGACAATGCTATTCACCAGACCCTATAACACAGGGGAAACTACACCTAGTCTGTATGGTTTTCCTAAGATACTTAAAAAGGCATAACTGTTTAAGAACTGTTAAAGGTATACTGTCAGTTCTGTCACCCCAAAATTCTCCAAGGTTCTGGATTTGGTCCTCAACCCAGAGGGCTCCAAAACACCACATTCCTGAACACAGGAATGGAGAATGTGGGAGACACCATTATGGAGGCAGATGAAACAATTGCCTCTTAGGATGTTATGTCTCTTTTCACTTTGCCTTCCAGTTGCTGAAGCAGTGCACATAGTCTCTAAGACATTACAGGATTGTGAAGGGTGCGCTTCACAACAGGAACACCCTCAACACCAACCAAATATGTCTGCTCTTGGAACTAAGTTTTATTTCACATGCAAGGGACAGACAGAGAGAAACATGGATCCACCATCAGCTTCCCAATTTCACCTGGCTAACTTAACAGTAAAAGTACTGTAAATGAACTAATGGCTCTGTAGTTCTCTATTTTCTCCATATTCATTAGTTCAGTTATAGTACTGTGAAAAAGTCTTGAGCCACACCTCAGTTCTTTATATACTGCTTCAAAAGACGCTCTTGTGGTCTAGAGGAATAGTTCTCCTTGCTAAAGCTCTTTTATACTTTTTTTCTTTGGACATTGGCTTCTTTCACTCAGTCCAGTCCTTGAACCTAATCTTTTTCAGACTTTCAAAAATTGTAAATTTTAATATTGTTGCTGATAGTTTTATATATAAATCCAATCAGTACTGAAAATCATTGTCAATGCCTGAAAAGTCAAGCATCAGAAAAAGAGTTAAGATTTGCTATTGATAAACATCATTCATAACTAAATGTGGTTATCCCAGCTGGGCATTTGTCAAAGTCGGGAACATGCATAAAGAATGATCCAGGCAATCTAGGACAGAAGGACCATTGCTCCTAAAGTAAACACTATTGGTAAGTTTTTATTTGTGAGGAGTATTGGAGCAGGTCAGACACATTTTTTTCAAAATAGAGTATTCTTTGGGCTTTCAACCCTCTATGCCAAAATTGGTCCACCCCAAGGATTAGCTCCACTGGTATACACAACTGCCAAGAGAATTGGTGTGAATTATACCATGGAGAAACAAAAAAAAAAAAAAAATTGGCTAAGCAGATGGCACAGCACAGAAGAGCAACACTTATGGTTCCTATTTACACCTACAGGCAAGTTGCCATTTGTTTAGTGATCAGTGCAATATACTGGATAGGGAGGAAGTAGGCCCATTACAGGACTATATATAAGGACTATATAGAAATTATTTTTTGTGCAAACCCTTTTGCATTTAATATTATTATGGCTTGTGCTGGATGAAACATTTTTCCCATTGAAAATGCCGTCTCCAGACAAACAGAATCAACTTTGATTTCCTCCTTTGGATTATTGAGTTCTGTCAAGGCAGAATAGCTGAAAAACTGAATATTGCGTGGCATGTGGCAGAGTGAGGAAACCCCCCAAAACAAAACCAGAAGACTATTAATATATTATTAATAATATAATATTAAAGTATATGAGCTGCTTTCTGACTTAGTTCATATTCCTTTTTTATTTTTGTGTTTCCTTGATGTATTTGCAGTGCTAAAACGGACCAGGAAGAGTAAGAATGATCTCATCAATGCAGAGGAAGGGGAGGACCACTTTACTGACATCTCATCTGTTGGTGAGGACAGTGCCTTAGATTTGTGATGGTTCTGTATGTTAAACACACAGCATATCAATTGTCCCCACTGCAAACATTTACATCTGTTAATTGTAACATTAAAACCACTGACAGGTTATGTGATTAATTTGGATTATTTGTTAAACTGCAATATCGTGCTGGAAGACCTTGGGTCTTTATATGGCTGTTGCTTTGAAATGTTGGACTTTGTAGGACTTGGTCCCCTCCATAATTGTACCAGCAGGGACATGTTTAGCCACATGGTGTCCTTAAACTGCTTGCTCTCTGGCTGGTGTCCAAAAATGAAGTGGGCTTCATAGATAATTGGGAAATATCCTTGGAAACACTGGACTTTTTTGGGAGAAATTGTGCCCATCACACTTTACATGGAGCAGCTCTCACTTCTAGAATTCTAGACGAATTTATCAAACACCCCAAAATGTGACTGTCCAAAGTTTGAGTTTACATTTTACATGCATCTCTGAAGTTTTGCTCCTCCCCACTCCTCCAATATCTCATTCCCATAGAGACTGATACTTTTCTTATACTATCAAAAGCCAAATCAAAGAATAGCAAAAATCTATTTAAGTTTACAAATATGATACCTTCATATTTATCTCTTTATCTTTCAATATCAAGTTAATTCACACAGCTGTTGTTTTGAAATGACACTACAGCTTTGTGAATAAAATAGAATCGAATTGAACTGAACAGTCTGTAATCGTTTCAGACAGTTTTGCTGTCATGTTCAGGAAACCCTTTTGCTGTAGGCAGCAGTGCCTTCCAGCAGCAGGACAATACTCCCCATCACACAGCACAAACTGCATAGGAATGTTCTGAGGGAACAAAAAAGAGTCAGTGCCTTACTTAGTTGGCCTCCACACTTCCCAGACGATCTCAGGGATGCACCACAACAAGCCTAATTTCGAGACCCACTGAACCCACAAGATTAATATATCAGACACTAAAGGAGATAACAATAGACCCTTTCCTTAATAAGTCAGAGATGCTTTGGTAATAAAAAGGGTATCAACCCAAAATTAATTTTAATATTGTTGCTGATAGTTTTATCTATAAACCCAATCAGTACTGAAAATCATTGTCAAGACCTGCAAAATCAAGCATCAGTCAAGCTTGCTTATACTGTCTTAAATCAATACTATGTAATGGATACTTGAAAAGGAGTTAAGATTTGCTATTGACAAACATCATTCGGTAGATGGTGTTATTTTAATTCTGTTAAGCTGATTGCAGAAAAACAGAAAGTGAAATAAGAAAATCATAAGTAGAGGATGAAAAAGATTATACTGTTTATCAGGGCTTTCTGTGTCTTTAAAGGCTCTTAAATCTCCATCCATCCATCCATCCATTCACTTCCGCTTATCCGTTTTTAGGGTTGCAGGGTCTGGAGTCTATCCCAGCTGTCATAGGGCGAGAGGTGGGGTACACCCTGGACAGGTCGCCAGTCACAGGGATACACAGGGACAGACAACCATTCGCACCTATGGGCAATTTAGATTTTTCAATTAACCTATTCCCACAAAGTGCATGTCTTTGGACTGTGGGAGGAAGCCGGAGTACCCGGGGATAACGCAAACATGGGAAGAACATGCAAACTCCACACAGAAAGACCATGGCCTGATGGTGGAATTGAACTCAGGACCTTCTTGCTGTGAGGCAACAGGGCTAACCGTGCTGCCCGGGTCTTAAATCGGGTCTTAAATCTATTACAGGTCTTAAATGCTTTAACTCAAGTCACTGCAGTATCTGGTGCTGCTGTTTTAGCTTAATTTGCACATGTAGATTATGCACTTTGACTGCTTAAAGGACTGTGTTTGGTCCGGGGCGGAAAACATACATAAAGGTGTTAAGAAGCGGACCCAAACACAGGTCTCTTCAGAGAGAAAACAGTGAATTTACTGTATCTACAGTGAAAAACAATAGGGAAAATATATACAAGTCCTGGAACTGGACTTGTATATACACCCCAAGGTGGTGATCTTCAAAATCCCCACACAGTGCTCGCGTCCGTGAACATTGGAATGGCATATATCCAAACTCATATCCAATCTGTGACTCTGCTCCTGTTTCCTAGTAAAGATAAACACAATAAGTCAGCTAGGCAATCCGTCTTCAAAGCAAGGTTTTTCAAAAGCAAGTCCATGGCTGTACTGACGAGGTAAACTGAAGGATCGAGTGTCAACTGGACCTCAGCCACACTGTTAAATAAGACGCTCCTGATGCCGGTAATCAGCAGCAGCTGGCGGCGGCTGACGAGCAGCAGGTGTGGCTGCCTCCAGCACGAGAACACTTCTGGGTCAAAGGATCACCCGGCGCCCAATATTTCCGGGGGCGTGAGCATCAACTTTTTTGCACATTACAGGGAGATGGAAAAAAGGAGATAGAACAACAAAATACTACACACGACAACAGAATATGCTTAACTAGACCATTGGGCAGGGTGACCCGCAAGGATCGCCAGCCCAGGGTAAACCTAAAACACATGGGCCTCCAGACAGGCCCATGACAGTCAAATTCAGAAGGCTATACACTAAAGTAGGAGAGCACCAAACTCTATCCTGATATATACATGATTTGAAACATTACCCTTAATTTTTTTAATTAATTGACAATAATTTATATCAAAAACTCCTAAATCAGACCAAATAGGAGTCAATTTAGGCCTGGCAGGCTATTGGGCTTTTCATAAAAGTAGCATGTTAATGAAAAATGGCTTTAGAATAATGAAGAATACTGGTGGTTTTAGCAACAACATTTTTAAATGACTAAATGCATAATCGCCACAAAATACTTTAACTTTACCTTATTCTTCATTTTGATTTGAGGTCAACATATTTTCTTGAAAAACACAGATTTTAACTTTTGAGTTATAGTTCCATCTTGAGTTTGGCTTAAATTTAAAAGAAATATTGCAAAGTTTTAAAATAAATTTGATAAGGCTTGTTGTACAGTATACAGTGTCAATAACAGCTAAGTAGAGACAAACATAAAACTGGATAATGTAGTCACTTAGGTGATACAGTATGAGTCAGAGGTCGTGTCATAAACTGGCTGTGTGGAGGCAGATGAGGACCCAAACGCAAAACTCACGGAGACAAAAAGCTGAACTCAAAATCACTGCTTTATTGCAGGCTTCACAAAGAAACAGAACTAAACTGGGAATGCTAACTGAGGACCGAGGGAACACAGAAAGGCACACAGGCTTGCGCACACAAATTTTAGAATAATTTATATTATATAATGTGTTTTTCTGGATACACTGTGCTTTTTCAGCATTCAAAGATTGATGACACCGTGTCAGAGCACTGGCTATGAATTTCAGAAGGATCAGGCCTTAACTTAACAGAAAAGTTAGCAATAGTTCTTTTCCTATTACAGCTACATCCACGTCTGTCGTGCCTAGGCTGCTCACTAGGGCTGGATATCATCACTGATTTCTATAATCCATTCGATTCCAGTTTTCAAAGTCCCGATTCGATTCAACTTAGCCTCAGACACTCAGAAATATTATAATTCTGATCATTTATCAGTACTGACTTCTTCAGAATTGTGAACATCACAGCAGATGCCTTTGTGTGAAAGTAACTGAGAATAAAACACAGAAAAACATGAAGGAGTCTGGTCTGGCTTTTTATAGCAGATAACCTTAAAAATATTCTACAATGTTCTGCATATAAAGTTTAAATTTCTTCAGTATTGAACAACAGAAAAATAGGCTTTCTTGTCCGAGGTCATTTAAGTGAAAAAAAGAAAAGAAAAAGACAGCAGCCTACAGTGCTGTAAACAACGGTAGACTGGTGGGTAGTAAGCGAATGAATAATACAGAAAACAGAGATTGGAGACGGGAAACTGTTCTTGAAGTACAGAGAGAGATAGAGAGAGAGCTAGCTGTGCATGAAGTGTGATTTTAATTGTTGTGGAAGCAAAACAGCAAAATTCATGACGACATTGCTGCTTCTTTTGCTGCTGACTCGGTGAATTTTGGTTGGAGAGAGACAAAAGCTGCAGCTCAGAATCAACGCAAAAAGACGTAAACACAGCGCGGACCGCACGCATCAGAATCGCTAAGCTCCGACAGCGTGTCCATCTACGGGCCGTCGGGTGAGAAAGCCGAGAAAGACAAAGTTGATTCTGATGCGTCGGTCCGTTCTGTGTTACGTCTTTGTGTGGAATCCGTGTACCTGCTCTCATTTGCTGTTTGGTTGATGTTGAAATGGTTTTGTGAACTTTAATCTGAGAATCTGGTGTTTCTGGCAAAACACAGTTATATTTAAAAGTCGATTCAGGATTTAATAAATTGATATCACTTTATTCAAGCTACTCACCTCTCACTTTGTTTTTTTTTTGTTTTTTTTTTAAATTTTATTTTCACTTACTGAATACGGGACAGACTTGACTGGGAGAAAGAAAGAGGGAAAGAGAAACAGCTGAGAAGAGGGACGGGGGAGAAGGGCAAAAGACAAAAACCAACAGAACG